AACAGAGAAAACCACTTCAGAAATGTCTAAGCCACTCTGCATTACACTTCAAAAGCGAGACACATTTCACTTCAGTAGCAGCACGGCTGCTGTCCTTTTGTCCTCGTAATGGGGCTGGAGCCCTTGAGCAGGTTTGCTTCAGCACAGCAAGGACAAAACAGCCAGGGGCGGTGGGGAGGTTTGACCAGAATAACTAAACACGCAGCCATCGCGCAGGGACTCGAATGGGATCTGAAGAAGAGCTGGGATCTGAAAAAGCGCTCGACGACAGGCTGCGGGATTTGCATGCAGGTCACTCATTTCAGCTGGGTCCTTGATTAGTGTCTGGGAAAGTCTCTAGGTGTCCATACTGCCAGCACAGTGGGCTACAATAAACCAATGTACAAACAGCCCCTTCCCTTGCTTTTGCTGCTGAAAGAGGTCAGAGATGAAGCGGGCTGTATTTGCCCGGCTTTCCCAAAGGGAACCACGTTACTAGAGATGTTGGGAGAGCGACACAGGATAACCCAGCAGGGATCCTGCTGCACCTCCCTTGCCCAAGGAGTACACACAGATATTCACCAGTTAGCAGGGGCAGGCAGTGGCAGCTCTGCAGCACTCGGAGCGGTGCTCTGCTCTGCACTTACAAGCTACGAAGCAGGACAATAAAATATCCAGCATGCTCAAAAAGCATGGTCAGCCACAGCGATCCTTCAAAAGCACAGAGTAAAAGCACTGTGTTTATTTAACATTGTACTGTGCAAGAGCTACAGCCCACTGACAGAGACCACTGGTGACCTGCAGCTCAGCAAGGACCACCAATTTACAGTCAGAGTGAAGAGAACATGGAACAACAGCACTGAAGATGGATTTGTGGCTCCCTCCTAGCATTGGCTCAGCCAAATTTGTCCCTCACATATGAGCCAGGACTCATGATCACAAGAGCAACAGATCTGGGAAGGAATTAGCACCTTCCAGGTGCCTTGTCTGAGTACACACAGGTACACTTTCATCTGGCAGCAGCTCCCCAGAATGCAGACATCACTGTTCTGCATTTCCATAACACCTTTCATCCTCAAAAGCACCAATGGTCTTCACTTCTCTGCCATGCCACCAAAACGCAGCCTTCTCTGAGGAAGCAAACCCAGCCTGAACAGTGCCTGGGTTGACCCAAATAAAAGCAGAAAGACCACCTCTTTTCCTAATGTCCATGAAGAACAGTGAATGAAGATGCAGATTTTCATCCTGCTTATTGAAAGATTTTTCTTCCATCTCCCTCAGGCTATAAACATGCACACAGAAGTCAAATTACTGATCTGGGAAAATAATCAAGAGATCAGCTGAGTCGAGCAGAACATGAACGAGCAGCTCCAAGGACCCAGGGAGCACAACGCGTACCCCACTTGGCCAGCCCTCCTGCACAGGTAAGCAATGCACACAGCCCTGAAGAGTTTCCAGAAGGACATTAAGGCCCCACTTATCTAAACCTACCCCCAAAGGCAGGAGCTGGCACCATCCTGCTCATCTCAGCGCCACCCCAAACCATCTACTTCACTCTGGGTGTTCTTACCATTTTCTTCCCCACTTCCATCATACCCAGGAATTAATGAGACAGGTAAATAGCTTTCTCGGAGGACTGGCATCCTTCCTAGTCCTTATCATCACTGTCCTCCCACTGGGGATTTGTAACAAAATTAATGGTGGCATCAGCTGAGCTGTCACAGCTTTTGAAGGAGAAAGCGTCAGAGGGCTCCACAGGATAAACAATTTCTGGATGTGCTTAAAATTATATTACCAGTGAAAAATAATGCCCTTGTGGTAAGCATACCTGTGTGGTCCACTTAACAAGTAACTCGAGAGAAACTGGATTGAAACACAGCAGCAGATACTGAGATTCCCTTCACACAGCACTGGGAAAGTCCAGGTTTTTGTAAGGTTTGCAGTGAAAAGCAACCAGAAAGCTCCAGCCTACCTTTTAGATTTGTCCTTTAACAAAAAGTAACGTCTTCCTCATTAATAACACCATCGACCCAAATCTGCAACTGCAATTCTAAAAATTAGCTAATTGAAGCTCCTATCACCGTCGCCAGCAGAATGAGGGAGGTCACACACTCGCTTCGCCTCCTGCCAAAAAGCAGCCAGCCCCGAAGCAAGGGGCAGCAGCTGTTCCCCAGCACAGGAGAGCAGGCAGGAGACTGCAGAGAGAGGCCCGGGAAATGCTGCATTCGAATAAACCTGGGAGGAGCGTTACGGGATTGCTCAGGAATACAGCGGGAACTGGGCCAGCACTTGGTATACATGAAGCTGGCACTGTATGAATGATACAAGCAGTAGCAGCTCCTTAGATAGGAAAATACGATCTGGTCTACGTGCAAACCCATCACATAGCGTAGTTAAAAATCTACCTGCTATCAGGTCACAGAAAGATTAAGGCTGAGAGCTTATTTTGGTGTAAACTTACTTGCAAGGCTCTCTCTTTCTTCAAGAGGTCACGCTTTGCTTTGGAAAAGCTTTCTGCTCCAGCGTTAGGAAGGTGGGTTTTAAACAGGCTCTGTCTGGTGCCTGATAGCACACCAGCAGAGTCTGAAGGGATGGCAGGAGCTAGGCTAGGTTAGGAGCACAGCCAGGGGGCACAGCGATTGCTTTGGTTTGGAAACTGGTGGACAAGGAAGCGGGTTTTAGGCACACGTACACATGCACGGCCATGCCAGCACCCAGAGGCAGGATCACTTCCCCCGGCTCGGATACATCCCCACTTCCAACACAAAACACATGGTGGATCAACAGGGCACAGTGACCCTGTGCAGCACTTTGGGAGTGGCCTGTTTTCTTTTAGCACAGGCAGCCCAAAAACCTGCAAAATGGACAGACTTTTCAGCAGTTACTGGAGATCAGTCAGCCCACAGCAGTCCCGGGAGGCAGAATTATCAGTTACAGTTTGAAATCACCCCATCCCACAACATTTACCTCAGTGAATTACAAAGGGTTTTGTTTATGCAGATAGATGCAACATGGCCTTCACCGTCAGCAAGAATCAGCTGGAGGAAGCATGTTAATGAATGAGCAGGTACAGGATATTGAATTCTTCCCAAAAGATCCCATGCAGATAGGGCCTGCTGACTTGGCTGGCAGAAAGAGACACTAACAACTGGAACTGCAATTTGTGTTGTCATATTTAAGATTTAACCTTTTGTTCCAGTCTTTTCCTTACCTGAACACTTGCAGACAAGGAAATGATCATTACTGCACCATCCCCTCTTAACCCTCCAAAGCAAAAAAAAGGAATGAAGTCCTAAAATGCACCTTTTGCAGCTGGAAAGCATCTGAAACCCAAGCTCCTGTTCTGAGTTGTAGTAATCACTGAGTAGCAACTGCAGTATGAGGGCTGTGGAGAATGTTTTGGCCTTCACGCTCGCTTGCTCCAAGCCAATCTGACAACATAATCTCTGTTCCTTACTAATCACAGCTTGATTTTCACCGTTTTCTAACCATCCTGGAAATAAACACTAAATCCAAGTCTATTTGCCTCACAAGTAAGTTTACAAATACGTAACTGACTGTGAATCCCTCTCACCCACTGGACAAGTAAATGCACTTGAGAAATTCCAGAAGGAGCCAAGTCTGTGCAATGGATGTTTTGCCATTTACCATGACAGTGCCAGCCCTGCTGTCACCACATATCCAGGGCAAGGGACAAACACCACCCAAAACACCTGCTCTGTTCTTCCCCTTTCCCACCCCTTCCTTCCTTCCTTCTCCTCGAGCCAGCAGTGGATGGGAAATGGGCACTCTCCCCTGTCCAGAGGCACAAGTGCCTCATTTCCCCTCTTCCAAGAGCCCTCAAGACCCAGAAACTCAGCACAGCTCTAGCAGTCATTTGAAGTCTGTGCCTGTTGCACCCTGAACAGATGAGTGAATGAGTGATCTGCTGTGGATGCGGAGGATCACTGACAGATAACACCACAGCCCACAGGGAAATGGGCTGAGTGGAAAGGCAAAACCTTACTGGAGTAACGAGAAGCCCCGAGACTTATTCTCAGCAGATCTCTGTCACAGGCATGCAGTGGAGCACAATTCTGCCATGCAATGCTGTGCTTCCTCTCTTCCTCTCTGAATGTCACACAAGGACAACCCTTTCTGTTCCCCCTAAAAGCCTCTTCCCTGCAAGATTCTTCATGCAGCAAGAAAGGGCATGAGCTGTCCCCACCCTTTGCTTTCCCCTTTCAAGGGGGCAGGCTACTGTAAGGCTGAAATGTCAACAAAAAGCCAGTTGAGGTGGAGGCAGATAAGCAATCCTTCCTGTAATGTTCAGAGGAAATCACCCTGCAAAGAACAGCTCTTAAGAACTGGAATTAAAATTTCCTTATATAAATATAAGGAAAGAGTCCACGAGGGTGACCAGCCAACAGGAAGAGGGAGTCGTGCTCTGGTCAGCCTCCATCGTCCATCACCTTGCAGATCTCGCAGGCAGACTGCGCAGAGGGCTGGCCAGCTTAGGATGGGGCCAGCAGCTTCGTGTTGCTGCTCCTATTGACGCCATCTGCAAAAGGAAAGAGCTGCTGCATCCCTGTGCTCTAGCACCAGCGCTGCCACGTGGCCCAGAGGTACCGTATGAGAGCACAGAGGGGCCTGGGGACTGGGTTCTTTCATCAGCCATCAAATTGCAACAGCTCATGGGTATTTGTCTGTCTGCATAACTGGGAGAAGGAGGAAGGTGAGAAAGGAAGGCTCTGACTGTCTGGTACAACTGTTCCTTCCCCTTTCTGGGAGCCAAAACATCTGAGCCAAATTTCACCACTGGCTGCTCACTTGGAGGACTCTGCTTTCTAGTCATGTCTCAGGGGACAGCAGCAGTTCCTGCTCTGAGGGAGGTCAGGTCTCCGGGCTGGAATTTGGCCCAGAGCTGTGCTCTCTACAAGGAGAGATCCCACCCTAACTGCGTAGGTCTCTGCAAGGAGACTGCAGCTCTGAAGGACACATGGAGTAGCCACAACATCCTCTATGGACAGACAAGAGGTTACTCACATCCGCAAACACTTATCCTTGCCACCACTCGCTACTCTCTGTCCGTCTGGGCTCCAGTCCGTTGCATATACCTAGCATTAGGTAAAGACCCAGTTATTTCTGCTGTCATGGGAGGAGGAGTCATTCCTGCCTCTCTCAAATACTTGGGCTCAACCAGACACCTCACCTCATCTGCATGGCCAGGAAGATCGATAGCCAGTTTCTTCATCTTGGTGTCCCAGACCTTCAGTGTGCTGTCACTGCTCCCGCTCACCAGCAAGCGGCTGTCGGCTGACCAGGCGATCTGGTACACGGCCGAGACGTGCCCTCTCAGCGACGTCAGGTACCTGGGTGCAGAGGAGACATGAAGCAGCTCTTAGAGGAGCAGGCAGCTGGGTTTGTTGCAAACCTGCCCTTGCCCAGCCTTTGTGTTTTTTCTCCAGCTGTGAGCAAGCAAGCACGGTCACAGCATGCCCAGCAAACCCCAAGCCAGCACACACAAGGCAGTCAGTTGCTATGTAGAGTCCATAGGTGGTTCAGTCTGTCTAAAAACCCTCCTAGATGGGCTCAGAGCCTTCTAGAGGACTCCCGCAGGCAAAGCTACAACTTTACTGTACAGATGTGTCCTTCCTCTCTCTGGCTGAGCAGCCTGGTTTTAGGAGGACTGCTGAAATAACTGACATGAAACCCAAGCTCGTCAGTATAAAGGCAGAACAAGGGATGGACTGCTACCCCAGAACTCACCAATACTCTAGTAGAAGGTTAAAGCTGGACCACAGGAGCATCCCAACACCAACAGCACCACTTGTAACTAGAATTTGCATTGTCCAGAACAAGCTGTTCTCTGGCACAGACACTGTTTAAATTGGGCCAGTCTACAGCATGCAGCACACACATCTTTGGATCGGCCGAGTGGAACATCCCATCCCATCCCATCCCACCCTAACGCAGCTGTGCCTGCCCTGGAGAACTGACCCTGCAGCAGGCAGCGTGTGTCACACGAGTGCCAGGCAGTGCTGGGGCCGGGTGGCAGTGGGGTTGCACACACCCAGCCAAGCACAGACCCCGTAACACAAGAGAGGTGGGACTTCCAAACATGCTGAACACACCAGGGAGTTGCTGGCAACGACACTGGAGCCCATCTCGCCGTAACCTGCGCACCACATGCAGACCCCATCTGTACAAGCACCACCTCTGTAACAGAAGAAACCAACTCACTTTCCTGTCCTCCCGTCCCAGAGCTTTATGGACTTGTCGAAGGAAGCGCTGGCTATGATCCGGGTGTCTGGCGAGAAGAGGACTTGGTTAATCAATGCCTGGTGGCCTGTCATTCTCTCCAGTGGCTTCTTGTCTTCTGCTGGTCTCCAAAGAAACAGTGTGAAATCATCTGACCCTGAGACAAGCCTTTCTGGTTCCTGACCCTGAGAAAGGGATGAGAGAGCCCAAGTCTCGTACAAGCCAGGTGTGGAGAGCTCAGAAACACATCAGTGCTGGGGTCAGCAGCCAACTGTGCACGTTCACTGCTTCCACCAGTAACAGTGTCAGAAACGACAGCAGGGACAAAAGGGACTTACCCTGACTTGATCATACCTCTGCTGTGCCCTTTTCTTCAGTTCTGCCACTGAAAAAGGGAAAGGGAGCAGGAAAGGAAGAGAGAATTGAAATCCTCAGTTGAAAGGAAGCTCTATAACCCTGCAATGCCAACCCCAGTCCTGGCTCTGTGGTCAAGCAGACACTTGTGTGACTGCTCACCCCCTTTCTCTTTGCCAAGGGCAATACTAGGACCAAAAAGCCCTTGAAAACAGAGTGGTGTTCCCATTCCCCAGACGGCTCAACCTTGTGCATGGGCAAGGAAGATCAGGGCTGCCCCCACGACTGACACCGGCACAGGACCTGCTCCCAGCTCTCAAGATTACTTTGGCTCACAGCAGCATTAAGAGGAGACATCAGGCCTCCTCACTATCCTCCCCACCGCCTTCCCCAGCCAAAACCACGGGTGCTGCACTTACAGGAGCCACTCACATCCTGTGGGTTGATGGTGGCTTCAGCGGGTTCAAAGGCACCAGTGCGGAGAACGTAGTCCGTGCTGAGGGCCATGGTGTTCACCCAGTGAGCGTGGCCCTGCAAGGTGCGGCAGAGGACGCCCTGGAAACAAAACCACTCACTGAGAGAGGGATGGGCAGGACAGAGCCAGACCCATCATGCTGCAGGGAGCAACCCAAAACTTTCCAAACCCTGCAGCCAGGCTTAGCAGGGAAGAAACACCACTGTCGAGCTTCAGGGACCAGTTTCCTGCAGGTCCTTGCGAGGAACCCACCAGGATAGGTCATTCCAGTGGTGTTTCCAGCTTTTAGCCCCATTTCATGCTTTTAGGGATGAAAACATTGCACAACAGCCATCCCTTCCACACAGCGCTAAGCAACAGGCTCTGATGGGTCAGGAAGACGCAGCACTCACTCTGCACCTCCATTTTCCAGGGCACAATCTGTGCCAGGAAGAGCAGACAAAGCCACAGCGCGGCGTGTCCAGCCCCCTTCACCAGCAGCACCAGCTCACTTACGTCCTGGCTCCTCCAGACTTTGATGGTCCTGTCCTGGGAGGAGGAGTAGAGCAAGCCATCGCCCCCCCACTTCACGCACGTCACCGACTGCGTGTGGCTGGTGAGGATTTTGTCACACCTGCCCATCAGCGTGTCCCAGATGCGGATGCTGCCGTCCTTGGAGGCACTCGCCAGGTAGCGGCACTCCGGGTTTCTGGGCAAAAAGAAGATCAAATCCACTCACACAGCGCACCCAGCTCCTCCACCAAGCCCCCCCATCAGCCGCACAGGATTCAAGGGCCCACAGGTCAGTAAAAGACAACTTTCTCTCCTGGCTTAAGAACAAGGAGAGGCTGGGCAGGGGCAGAGCACTGACCTACAGAGAACAAGACCCTAAAAGGCAAGGGAGAGGCAGACAGATGCTTCCCTCCCATGCACGCTGGAGGCATCAATCCAGGGCAAACCTCACACCCAAGCTCTTGGCAATGACCTTGTTTTCACAGGAGGCAGCTTTAACCTGCTGGCTATCGAGGGGTCCACAAAGCAGCACCTTCCCCTTCACCGCTGCGCTGGGCTGAAAGCAGCAGCATCTGTCTACATGGCTCACGGGGGCAAATTTAACACATCTGGAAGCAGCTGGCCACAACCCAGCGAGGACGGGGAGCCACAGCCCTCTGTCCTTTGCACAACATCTTTACTCCTCAGAACAGTTTTACTGCAAAAGGAAGCAGTCCCTGGCACCAGCGAGGAAGGTGGCCCCTCCTGTTGTGCAGAAACAGAGTGGGAAGCAGCTGGAGATGGAGAATGGGAGCCCAGGCAGGGTCATCTCCCTCCTCTCCATTTCCTCATCCTCCTTTATAATCAGTTTTAGCTAATTCAGTTAATTGTTTGCAAATAGCTGGAGTTTCCTACTGGCAAATTCAATTTGCAGCGCTCTGCTCTCAAGGGGCCCTGTTTAATTCTTTTTATTTATTTATTCCTATCATGTCTTGGATTATTGGCCACAACTGTCCCTCTCCACTCATCTATCTCAGACAGCGCTTTAGCTAATCGAAGGGATAAGGGGATTGCACAGTTAATCAGCCCTCATGACAAATAAACCAGATGAGAGAGACAACCAGGATGCAGGAGCACAGAAAGGGAGTGCTCTGCAGAGCCAGAGCACGGGGACCATGTGGGCACCTTTCCTACTCCCAGCTCAGCACACTGAGGAGGAGAATATCCCATGTTTGTCCACCACCATGAAAACATTACGCGTTTTTCATAGCCAGGTATGACTTTTGTACAGGGGAAAAGGGCCACAGCCTGGCAGTGACTTCCCAGCATCCTCACAGGAGCTGTGAGCAGCAGCTGCGACTCCTGACTCTGAGCAAGACGCGTGTTCCCTGGCCCACCTTGGGGGCTGTTCTCCGTCACACACACCCCAGCAGGAAAAAGGCAAACAGGAGCAGCGCCCTTCAGGTCAGGCCGCTCTTTTCCATAGGAGCAAAGGGGAAGGGCTGGGCCCTCACTTACATGTGGAGTGGTTCCCAGCACAGACACGTGATCCATTTGGAGTGGCCAGCGAGCACCCGCCCGATCTGACCGCCCGTGGCTGGGTCCCACACAAATATCTGTGCGAGAGAGGAAGCGAGAGGGTCGCGTCAGGCCACGCACATCACGTGAATCCCAGGGACGTTTGGGCTCCATTTAGAAAGCAAAGGTGTCCTTAGGGTCGCATGTACATTGGCAGCAGCAGGGCGCAGAAAGGGAGAGGGGCAGGAGGGCTGGATGCCTTTCCAAATCCCTGGAACAATCAGCTGATGTCCCAAAGCACGGGCCCTGATCGCCCTCCTCTCTGCCTAAAACGCTGCTGCTACAAAAATATCTGCCGCAACTCAAAACCAATCCAGGTCCCCAAAAAGCCAGCTTGAGCCTCTGTCACCCTGTGCCAGGGAGTTAGGGAATGTTTGCAGAGCGCGATGAAAGCCAAAGCGCGCTAAACGCTACTTATTATCGGATCCTGTGGGTGGGAGACATGCTGGTTTTCTCTTGTTTTTTCTCTCTCTACATAAATGTTCATCCAAAGAGCCAAGGCATGAGTCATCTCCTACTTGAGAACCTAGGGGAAACAGAGGACAAGCAGCTCCCTGGGTTAGATTAAAGCCAGAAAGCACCAAACCAGAGCAGAACAACCCCGGCCTGGTGTGTTTCCTCGGGGCTGGTATCACAGCAGCCTGATGCAGCAGCCGCTCAGAAGCCGAGTGTGGGACAGCAGCGCTCAGCAGCTCCGTGGCCACTCTTGTTCCCCAGACCATTCAAAAGTCAGAGCAAGGAACTGCCCCTTCGCAGCTCAGCAAGTCACTGACTCACTTTTAATTGCCCTCGAGTGCTCCTGGCACTTCTGCTACCTTAAGCACGCAGGTTTTGCCCCACAGCCAGGGCAGGGCCCCTCCACATTCCTGTAAGAGGGAATTTGGCTGTGTCTGAGCAGGAGCGCTGCAAAACAGCGGAAACAGTGGCTGCTGCACGGCTGGGTCACACAAACAGCCCTGGCTTGGCTGGGCGATACCTTCTCGCTCCAGACACCTCCCTCATGATAGAGCTGTCTGCCAAGGACTGTGTCCAAAGCCTGGACTCCTTCCTGCGTGGTGGGAAAAGCGTCTGACACGAGACAGCAGGGCTCAGTGGCAACAAAGGTGAGAAAGCCAGAGCCCTACCCAGCACAGTGTTCAGAGACACCACTTGCAACTACTGTGATGCATCCACATGCAAAGCTCCTCTGAGGAGCAGGAATCCTGCTCAGAACAACTGGATGCACCCCTCACGCCCCAGAAAAAACAAGTGTTGGCTTCTAATCCTCCACAGCCCCTTTACCAGGCTTTGTTTCAGTTCAAAACAGGGCTGCAGGGGGTCTGCACACCCCTGCAGAACCCCGTTGGTGCAATTGTAGGGGCACCTGGCCCCGTTCTGACACATACCTGGCTGTTCTTGCAGCCCGAGGCCAGCTTCTTGCCATCAGGCGACCAGGCGATGCTGAGCACCCAGTGCCGGTGACCTGGCAGAGAGAGCACAAGCGAGTGAGTGTCTGTCCCCGTGTCCCAGCACACAGCCACTGGAGGCAGGACTGGAAGTAGGGGGAGCCCTCCATGTTCCTCCCACCCAAATTCTCTTCCTCTGCTTTGTCAGTGAAAGAGCTGCCCCCTCCCTGAGCCACGGTCCCTGCATACGTGGCTCAGGTAGAGCCCAGGCTCTGCTGTTTGTCCCCCCTGGCGGATGGGGGGAGATCAGGACCTGCCCTCACGGGACACCCCTGCACCCACCTTTGGCTGTGAACTGTGGTGTCTCCGTGCTGAGGTCCCAGAAGCGGACAGTGGTGTCTCCAGAGCCACTCGCCAGGTACCTGGGAGAGAAGGAAGAGCCTGGCTCAGCACAGTATCTCCCCAGGAGGGGACAGTGGCCACGATCAAGCCCCAAGCCCCCCACCCACATCCAGACCCTCGTACTTTCCCGTGGGGCTGAAGGCCACGGAGATGACGGCCTCAGTGTGCCCCTCGAGCGAGCTGGTGCAGCGGGTGACTGCCCGCACCCTGAACACCGCCTGTGGCTGGGGGGAGGTGTGTCCAGGACCTTCTCTGTCTCCACGCTCTGCCCTGCCAGGGTCTTCTCCAGTGATGCCACGATCTCGGCATCGTGGACAAAGAAGGCCAGAGGCACTGGCTCCTCCTGGGGGAGGAAAGACAGGAGAGGTAGTGAAGGGTGAGCTCTGGGGGTGCCAAGAGAGCTAGGGGGTACAGCGGATCTCACCTTCTGCAGGAGGGCATTGCAGACCAGCTGCAGCTTGTCCGGGGTGATGGTGACCGGGACATCGAAGGGGGAGCCCAGAGACTCCCCCGCCTCGTCCCGGAA